TAACTGGAAATACACTGAACAAGGCAGATGATCAATGTTAATTGCCTAATTAAGTGAATGCATAATTAATCTAATGAGAATAATCAATTTTTATAATGAAAAAGAGAATTGTTAAGCAATTCAGAGTTATTAGAAACAATGCATTATGCAAAGGGAACTATTTTAAAAGGAGGTCTCAACAGTGATTAATAAAACAGAGTTAATTTAAACATCCTGTGGAGTTCTAGACTTTCCCAATCCAATTAAGCCATTCCAGACGTGAGGATCTCTGTACATATACTTATCTTGAAAGCTCACCTCCTCTTTCTCTCTTTTTTTTTTCCCCTTCAGTTTTCATTTTGTTGGAAAGTGGCTAATAAATGTACTTTAAAAGGCATGGTAGCAGCACCTATTTTTAGCAACCAAGTAAAATGAACCTGCTTCAGCATCTTCTTTTTTAATGGCAATTATAAAGGAAATAGAAGAGCCTTGATAGTAAGGCATTTCCACTACTGAAATTCCAGTCTAATTTGGCAGGGGTGGGGAAGGGGAGATTTGGGTTTTTTTGTTTTGTTTTTAAGTGAGCGCTAGCACATAAAACGTCCAACAACTTCAAAATCAACTTCATTGCATCTTACTTATGTCAGCCATCTCAATAAGAAGATACCAAAGAATGTCTTTCTTTTCAAGCACACACGCACGGTTTGAAATTCATCTCATCTCTGCGCATTGACAACGTTATATAGATTCTTTAACTTCTCCTCAATTAGGCTCAGCACAGATGAAAATGGGAGATCTCTCTTTCCTTTGTGGGTGGTCAACAGCATCTCCAAAACTAAATAATCTCTGGGACATACCCGCATTGTTCTGACCTAAGTGGACATTCTTATGTTCTCTTTGGCATATTTGTTAACAAAATTTGACTTACTGACTCTTTGGGAACCCTTTCTTTCAATCTAAACCATGTGTTAAAAGCCTACTTTAAAAAGCCATTCTTTTGCATGCCTGAGAAAATGATGTAAGATTATAAAACTAGTTCCCCTTTTTATTTCTGTATCAAATGCCAAGATTGTCTCACAATATTTTTACAGAAATTCCTTTGGAGCTGATCAGTTGATAGCTACCTCTCTATGGTTTCTCAGATTGTCACCTGGATTCATCCCACCTTGACATAAGCATCTAATCGAGGTACCCAAGTTAGGAGTCCCCTCTATGGTCAAAGGAGACAGGCAACTAAGACCATTTCACATTATGTGGTCTGTATCACATTGCAGATACTGATTACTTTCTGTTGATGACAGAAGCCGCCTAAGCCCTGTAGGATCCAAAATGACATACTTCAGTTAAATGCTTAAAGTAAGATGGGATGAATGAGGCCCCATATCCAGAGTAGAAGTGGGTAAGATAGTTTGAAGAAAACATTCCCAGTGAAAACCATGATGGAGATTCAAAAATAAATAAGCTTTTACTAAGCTCAACTTCATTCAGTCAAAACTGTTCACCTTAAAGCTTCTTCTTAAAAAGAAAATGTGTATTAAAAATGTCCAATTAAAAAGTCAAACTTTATAGGAACGTTCAGATCTACTATGTGAAATAATCTCCTCCCCATTTTGATTTTAAAAATAACATATATTTTGCCAAAATTAAATGTTTCATTGCCAGAAAATTAAAAAAAAACACATACATACATGTA